AGTCACTGTGCACCTACTCCCCATGTAAGACTTCTGCCCTTAATGTGTTGTGCTATGGAATAAATGGTAAAACTACTACTCAAACAGTACTGTATACGTTGTGTGCCTGTGTGGGTGCAAACTGTTGAAATCTTTACTTAGTATATACTAAGTTGATTTTCTGTATATAAAGATAATTGAAAATGAATCTTGATGAAGAATGGAATGGGAGAGGTAGTGGGAGATGGGATGGTTGTGGGTGGGAGGGAGGTTATGGGGGGAAAAGCCATTATAATCCAAAAATTGTACTTTGGAAATTTATATTTATTAAATAAAAGTTGAAAGAAAAATGAAAAAAGAAAAATAAATAAATAAATATTAGTCTAGGTGCATTCTTGAAAACAAAATACAGACAAAAAGATTTCATTAAGCAAACATCTGAAAATGACTGTCTCACAAGCATCATAAATTGATGGAAAACTAAGCAACTTCTTAAAATCAAATTATGTACACTTTGTGTGTATGTGTTTCATACATAATAAGTTCAACAGCTCTGATAACACTTCACAGAAAAACATGAACCATCAGGCAGATGGAATGTGAAAGTTACTGTTACCTGTATAAAAATAGCATTTGTGTAACTACAGAAACAATTACTTTATCTCTTACCATTGGTAAGATTTTCTACTTTTTAGAAATGTAAGCTATTATTACTATTATTAAAGGTTTCAGAAATACAACTTCATTGTCAGTACAATGAAACAGACACATTGAGAGAAGAGCAAATGGAGAAATGTCTATTTGTATTACAGTAAGCATATTCACTTAGGTTAGTGAAACTGAGGGGTAAAAAAATTAAAAGTCCTAAAGTTCCCAAAAATAAGTGAAAAAACTCTTCTAAGTTGTAAACATTTGCTATATTGAGTGTTAGTCTACCAGCTGGAACATTGGTCTGGATACCCTTATCCCACATTGGTTCGGTACCTGGCTCCAGTTCCTGACTCGGGCTTCCTGCTAACACAGGCCCTCAGAGGCAGTGATGACAGCTCAGGTACTTAGGTTCCTGCCACCCATTTACCAGGCCTCTAAGATCTCAGGTCCTGGCCTTAGTTCTGTCTGTTGCAGGCATTCAGCGAGTGAAGCAATACACAGGAGCTTCTCTTTCTTCCTCGCTCTCAAACAAATGAATAAAAATTTAAAAAAATAGAAAGTGGCTAATATTACTTCTCTAAATTATGGCTAATTCCAATTTTTTTTTTTACAGGTAGAGTGGACAGTGAGAGAGAGAGACAGAGAGAAAGGTCTTCCTTTGCCGTTGGTTCACCCTCCAATGACCGCCGCAGCTGGCGCTGCGGCTGGCGCACTGCACTGATCCGATGGCAGGAGTCAGGTACTTCTCCTGGTCTCCCATGGGGTGCAGGGCCCAAGGACTTGGGGCATCGTCCACTGCACTCCCGGGCCACAGCAGAGAGCTGGCCTGGAAGAGGGGCAACCGGGACAGAATCCAGCGCCCCGACCGGGACTAGAACCTGGTGTGCTAGCGCCGCAAGGCGGAGGATTAGCCTAGTGAGCCATGGCGCCGGCCAGCTAATTCCAATTTATCTTAAACTGGGGACTATAAATATGTATACCTTAAAAAAGCAATGCAAATTCCAAGGAATGTAACAGTAGAAAACAAATTTGGCCTAATGGGTAAGATGCCTAAGTCCATATCAGAGTGCCTGGGTTTGAATCCTGGTTCTGGATCCTGAATTCAGCTTCCTGCTAATGCAAAGCCTTGGTGGGGTGGGGGCTGTAGGGGTGATGATCCAAGTAATTGGGTTCTGGCCACCCAAATGGAAGAGCTGAATTGAGTTCCTGGCTCCGGGCCATTGCAGGCAGGAGTAAACCACTGGATGGAGGTGCTCATTCACTCATTCCCTCTCTGTCTCTCAAATAAATAAAAGTTAAAACAAGATGGCAAAGTTACATGAAGAGAAGGGTCAGGTGGTGTGCAGAAAGTACAAAATATCATATGAAATAAAATACAAGCACTCAGATACATAAATTGGAATAATGATGATAGATTTGATAAGGACCAAGATCTATAATTCTACATTCAGAAATTACCCAAGTTATGTCAAGATTCATTGCTTGCATTTTTCTTCGGAAGATGCTTTGAAGAAGCCCCAATGGAAACATGATCCATTCACTTCAGCTACTCTGTGAAGGAAGAATGGTTCCCTTTGCAACACCTATTACTCAGGTATTGAATCAGTTGAATGAATTCCCAAAAAAGTAGACGTTAAATACTTTTTCCACGTATTCTGAAAGCCTCACTGTGGACAATCCATTTAACTTGTACAAATAAGATACTAAAATGCTTTACGCCCATCTGTGATAGAACTATAATGAAATTTTCCTTATCCCTTTCTCTTCCTCTTTCATATATCCTCCCTTTTGTCTGCATCTGTTTTGCCTCTCTTTGTGTTGGGGAAAATCATAATTGCAAAACTGAACTATTAAGGCTTGTTTTAACTCAGTGCCTGGGAAATAAATTAGCCTGTATTCCCACACAGTAATAACATCAGTAATGAGAGCTTCCAGTCATGGTGCAGGAAATTAAAGCAACGATGGCCAAAGCTTTAACAAAGTCACAAGAGAGTACATATTATTGATTCTAAGAAAAGACAGATTTCTACTATCCAGAAAATGACATCTGTTTCAAAAGAAATGACTAAAACCAAAGCAAACAAGTCAAGTCAGTTGAGTCACAGGAAGATTTGCAAATACATATGGAGAAAAAAAATCACTGTCAAAAATAAAAGGAACTGTAAGAGAGCAAAACTGAATGCTTAAGAACAGCATTTGAACTAGTATAAAGTCACAGATAATTCAACCAGTCAACTCAATCTCTGAGTGGGAAAGTGCATCACCATAAAAACGCAAAATCCTAGGCTGGCACTGGGGTATAGTGGGTAAAGTCACTGCCTGTGACCCTGGCATCCATGTGGGCACTGGTTCAAGTCCCAGCTGCTTCACTGCCAATCCAGTTCCCAGATAATGCGCCTGGGAAAGCAGCTGAACATGGCCCAAGTGCTTGGGCCCCTGCATCCATGTGGGAGACCAGGAAGAAGCTCCTAGCTTCAGCCTGGCCTAACTCTGGCCTTGTGGCCATTTGGGGAGTGAATCAGTAGAAGGAAGATCTCTCTCTCTCCTTCTGTGTGTCTCTCTCTCCGTCTTTCTCTGTCACTCTGCGTTTCAAATAAAAGAAAAATCTTAGAAAAAACATAAAATCCTGTGATCCAGGGGAAATGACTGCTAATGGCCCTCTTTTGAAAATATTCTCAAATTTGATGGTGGGGGTGAGTGCATAACATTGTGAACACATGAAATGCAACTGAAGTGCAACTTTATGGGAAAGAATTTCATGGTGTGCAAATGATATCAATAAATAAGTTACTTAAAAATGAAAAATACCTCGCTCAATTGTATGCCTCTGACCTAAAATGCCTTTGAGGTGCCTTCAGGTACTGTTTTTTCCTAATCCTCATCTGTTCTACAGTTGTCACTGGGACCCACAGAGTGAACTCAGATTTTACTACAATTCACAAAGGTTAGATTTAAAAATAATTAGGAGTTACATTTAGACAGATGGCTGCATATAGCCTGTCACTGTACTCAAGGGGAGAAAACCCCAGAAATTGGACGGTTTTCTTTTAATTGCACTATTGGTGCCCTAGCCCAACGACCTATGCAGTTGAAACGATGCTCCCAGTAACTGGTATCCTCTCCTGTCATTGCTCCTTATGCATCCTCACTGCTGGGAAGCAAACTGCTTTCCTGCCAGCATGTTCAGGCTGCTGAGTACTGGTGGGAAGTTAGGAAATTTGGCTTACTAACTTCTGCACAAATTGGTATTATCTAACTCATCTGAGACTTCACTGCTACTTGGAGATCTTTCTACTAATGTCTAATTGGCTCCTGAACACATTTTCCATAGTGCTCATTTCAAAGCTCTTCAATTCTCCAGTCTTCTCCCTGTGACCTCACCTACTCACTCACCAGAAGTTAGTCTCTCCCATTTGATGGAGAAGTTCTATGTCAAAGTTTACATTCCCTGTTCCTTCCTTCACATCTCAAAAAATACAGCATTTTAAACTTTTTTTTTTAATTAGGCAGAGTTAGACAGTGAGAGAGAGAGAGAGAGAGAAAGGTCTTCCTTCCTTTGGTTCACCCCCCCAAATGGCCGCTACAGCCAGCACACTGTGCCAATCCGAAGCCAGGAGCCAGGTGCTTCCTCCTGGTCTTCCATGTGGGTGCAGGGGCCCAAGCACCTGGGCCATCCTCCACTGCCTTCCCGGGCCACAGCAGAGAGCTGGACTGGAAGAGGAGCAACCGGGACTAGAACCCGGCACCCAAAGGGGATGCCGGCGCCACAGGTGGAGGATTAACCAAGTGAGCCATGGCGCTGGCCCCCAAGCATTTTAGTCTTTAGAAAATAAGATCCAAGCTGATTGGAAACACAGCCGATTTGGCTTATCACACTTGTCACTGCCCAGCTTCAGAGGCAAAGGCAATTCATTTATCTGCTTCTTGGTTTTCACATCTTTAAAACTGATGCCATGGAATTGGTAAATTCAAAGGACAATACTAAATCAAGGTTTTCCTAATTTTGTGTGTAGTCTTCTACTTTCTGCCCCCCTAGGACTCATTTCATCCAGCTTCCTTATGTTCAATACAAATCAAATATATTTTCTCTCTGTTCCAGAAATGTGATTCTTCTCACAAAAGACATGCTTAAGATCTCATCTTTCAAAATGATCCCTCATTAGGTTCTGTGTTCGCATCTTCTGATCACATTACTTTTCATGTCATAACGGGCGGCACAACCGTGGCGGGAGTTATACCCATTGCCTCTCTTGTGCATTCGTCTGCTGCTGGGAGGTAATACAAAGGCCTTAGCTTCCAAGAAAATCCAACGCCTTTATTTCAACTAGACTTAAGAGGAGGAAAAGCAAAGCAAGCCAGCAATAACTTACACTTTATCTGTTCCATAGCTCCTGTAGTCTACGGCTGCAGACACAGCCACGATGAGAGCGGGCATGCCATAGCCGACCAGGTAAAAGTATTTCCGCCGAGAATGCTCGCTCTCGAAAACCTCCACCAGCATGATGTAGAGCTGCACTCCTTCCAGAAACATCCAGGTGAAGGCAGCCAAAAAGAAGAAGTGTAAGAGTGCAGCAAACACAGCACAGGCAATCTAGGAAGAGGAACAAAGGATCCAGTCAACGACTACCACACAGGCCATCTGTCAACAGCCACGAGACTAAAACAAACATGTGTCAAGACTGCAGCGACAAAACAGGTCCGTGGAAGAATAATCTAGATAAGATTCCTAAAATAGGGAGATGGAAAACTAATCAAATGTAGCTTATCTTGGAAAACTGCATTTAACATTAATAACAGCTGATGGATGACAGCATGGCATTAGAGTAAAGAAAAAAAAAAACTTCAGAAAAAAACCGTAGTAAGAGCTTGTGGGTAATGATTACTGAGGGTAGTCTAAGGATGTTTAAATAGATCTTGGGAATTTTTCTCTTGGCCATGGTAATGTGTGTACTAACATCTTAAGTTCTTTAATAATACATGAGAGAGAAACATTAAAGCCAGGGGGAATAAAAGCTCTTAAAATTAAATAATATCATTAATTGCAGTCTTCTATGGTGAGAGTATTAATTATTAGTAACTAATTATTTCTTCCCTGCCTTGTTTCAGAAAGATTTAAGGTCATATTGGAAAGTTTATGATGATCAGAAGCAAACATGGATCTACTATTCCAGAAGTGCTTTATTTCTCTGAATTTTTTTTGGTCACTGTCCTAAATTTTGGTTTACGCAAGCTTGGTCAAAACAGACATTCGGTATTTATTTCTGAATACTCTCTAATCATTGCAAGTTTCAGCTGAGCCTCTATTAATTTCCTGTTGTCGGTTCCTGAAACACTCCTTGGGATTCTTTGTTTTTTTCAAGACGTTTTGACTAAAGTCTACAGCTTTTACTAGAAAAGCTCAATAAACGTACAGAAATGATAAGAGTAGTATGAATCACTGATGTGTATGAGCCCTAAGAAATGAGGCAAGGGGTAGGTCAGTTTAGTGGGTTACAGTGATGGCCATGAGAGAGACAGGAGGACATACAGTGCCTGAGAGGCTGGAAAGAAATCAGGTCCTAATCAACACTTATATGAGGCCTGTGGGAGAGGGCACCTAACTAGCACCACGAGTGAAGAGGGGTTTGCGCTCTATTCTACGCACGTTTTTCATATCAATCATTATTCCATATGTTCCTCGTCAGACATTGGTTTTGTGCAGTATGCAATGTTTGGTGGAGTTCATCTTAGCATACGTAACACCAGGAAATAAAAATAAGAATACAGTTTCTAAATGAAAAGAAACTACACAGCATCTGAATTGCAGGTTAACAAGAGAATAAAATAGTATCTTTTTGGAAAACAACATAATTTTCCATTTATTGCTTGCTAGAGTCAGAACTTCAACTATTAATTTTGGTTATCATAGGCTTTACTTTTTGGGGAAAAGAAACATGTACTTTGATTGCTTATTCATACGTATGCATTTGTGGGGAAAGCTGTCACATTAGTATATAATAACCAATTAAAATATAATCATCATAATTGTATCTTTTGCAGCCATTAACCATGAGTGTATAATTACAAACATGAATCCAACTGCATTTTTATTATAAAGCACTCCATACATATGGACACATACCAGAAAACAGTATGGAGTAAATGAATGGTTTATTAAGCTCTGAGTTATTTGGGGAAAAAATGGAAATTTTTGTTTCTTTTGAAGTTTTAGTCATGACAGCAAACTTGCACAATGCACATAAATCTTAAGTAAACACAAAGGACCTCATAAAAATTATAAGTGGGCATAAAATCTGTGCAATATATTAGTTATGTCTCCTATTCACATAAGGGTACTTCTAGAAGTTCAAGGAAAACGGAATAAGAAAGTCAGTTTATTTTGATGCACAAAATTTTAAATTCATAGTTTTTCCATAATATACATTTTCCATGAACATTCATGGAACTCCTTGTATACATGGATTTCAAAATGTTTTTGCACCAAAATAAATTTATCTTTTAATTGCATTCTCTACAAACTTATTTGAAGACTTATTTTCTGCTTGGTTTTACCAACAATAGTTGGGTAATATTGTTCCTGTTTTTTCCTTCTTTTTCTTCCCCTTTCTCTCTTCCTCTCACCCTTGATAGGACTAAATGTAAGCATTAGTGAAGAGTGAGGCTGGAACTCAAAGGGGTGGACAGAAACCAAGCAAATATAAAAGTATCAAACTTTGGTAGAGTTTATATATATAGTAAAAATGACCTACAGATTCTACTGTTCTCCAAAATAGGTCATTTAGAAAACCTTATTCCATACATTCATATTTTAAGATAATATCAACTGTTTATAAAGGTAAGGTATAAAACTAAAAGAAACTACTACTATCTATTAAAAAAGATTCCTTCATTTCATAAATGATATTACTAAACTTTCCCCAATATTTAGCTCTATGGTTTAAAAGAATGAGGGGAAAAAAACAGTGAAAATATGCAATTCTTCCAAGAGACAAGTTTATGAAACAATTTCTAAAGAAATGTCCATCACTTTCATTGCTGGTGGGAATGGAAGATAGTTCACTACCATGCAGTCCAGCAATCACACTCGTTGGTATTTACCAAAGGATAAAAACTTGTATCTGCACAAAACTCTGCATACATGTTTATAGCAGCTTTGTTAATAAGCACCAAAGCTTGGATGCAAGAAAGATGTCCTTTAGTAGATGAATGGAGAAATAAACTGTGGTGCATCAGACAGTGGAATATTATTCAATGCTAAAAAAAATGAATCATCAGGTCGCAAAATGATGTAGAGGAAACAAACGCATACTACTAAGTGGGGAAAAAAGGCACCTCAGAGACAATTAAAAAAAAAAAAAAAATGAAACAAAAAAACCAAAAAACACAGTGGCCATGGGTTTGGAGGATTCCCAGGGCCGTGAAAATACTCTGTGTGATAAGAACAGATAAATGCCATTACACATGTCCACACTCACAAAATATACAACACTAAGAGTGAACTCTAATGTATGAAGTTTGGTGGATAATGACAGTCTGCACAGGTTTACCAACTGTCACAAATATATCACTCCAATGGGGGGTGTTGACAATGTTGACAATGGAGGAGGTATGCATATGTAGCGGCAAAGGTTATATGGGACATCTCTGTATTTTTTTGCTCAAGTTGTGGGTTAATCAAAGACGTCTCTAAAATAGAAATCTATTAAAAAAAGAAATGTATACTTCATGTATAACATTCATTGCTTCTTTATGACAATAGGACATAGGACATAGAAAGCGTAGTCAGATCTGAAAAACTGTATCATAGACAACTAGAAGTAAGGATGCTCGCAAACACAAGTACTCCAGCACCGGAAGTGGCGGGCCTCTGCAAGTGGAGAAACTCTTTACTAGTATAAATGTAGACGGCTTACTGGTTGGTCAGTCCGGTTAATTCCAATCAGGAAGAGCAGCTCTGCTACAAAGAGGCTAATGCAGAGGTTCTTGTGGATGGTGTTACGGTCACTCTGGAGCCCGCGGAAAAAGCAAAATGTGAAGATGCAAATCAGGAGACAAACAAGGGACAGCAAAATTCCAACCCACGTGATCACATCCAGAAGAAGGTCATGAACTGCATCACTGTGCTGCAAACAACAGAAAAACCGTAAGTTGCAATCACGCCTAACAAATTGCAAAGCCTCCTAAGGGCCTAGATTCTGGAAACGTGACTTTAATAGAGTACCAAACATCCTCCACATCCACATGAATAAAATAAATTACTAGTGTTTAACCTGCTCTCTGATGCACGAGTCACTGCAAATTCAGGGGTGTCAATATGTTGCATATAAATACTGATGCAGGCCAACCTAATTCTGGTCAAATATTTCAAGGAAAATTGTTTTTTTTAACCTATACCACTTTTTTAGACTAATTTTCATACAACTCCTGGTGAAGAATATTCTATTAAAAAATTAAGCTATACACTAAGGAAGTGCTGTCTCAATTGATTTTTGAATCACCTAGGGATTCTAAAAATAAAAAAGCAAGGCTTTGTGCTATAAATCCTTTATCAGAATTTCCAAGGCTGAGTTCATAAAAGGACGTATTTTTATAAAGGTTCCCACTTAAGTCTACAGAATAGCCACATATGTGTACCATTTACTTAGTGGGAAGATCTAAAAGAATGAGGAAATTCACTGGATTTATATTCATATTGAATGGCTTAAGGACATCAGGAAGTCTGATCCTCGAAGGGTTTTTAATGAATAGAGCCTGCTACACATAGATAGAAAATAAGTATTCAGAACTGCTCTGTCCAATATCAAAACAAAACAGATAGCAGACCTAAGAAACAAGAAAAAGTTCATAAAAATACTTCATGAAACTGCATTTTTTTTTTGGTTCTGTTAAAATAGGCCTGTGAGCTCCATACTTGCCATGTTCCATGGTCTACCCACTATTTCCTTTCTGTTCTTGTTCTAAGAATCAAATCTCTGTTTCTATCCTATGGTAGTTTGCCTTCACCCAAAACAACTTCTCTGAGGCTGTAAGTGTACCAAGATGTCAGAGCAGAGTTGAGAATTTGCCTGCGACTGTCACTTCCTCTAAGTAATCTTTCATCAGGAGAATTCATAAACAAATGTAGATTAATTTATTCAATGATATTTATAGAAAATAATGGAAAATCAGTGTACTAGATTTATATTATATAAAAATGGACACTTCACAAAAAAATCTTATTGTTTGAAAAGGCAAGCAACATAAAGATCTACAGAGTATGATAACACTTGTGGGAAATTCTAAACCACACAAATCAATGACTGATTTTTATAGATAAATACACACAAGTAGTAAAAGTATAGTATGTGCATGGACAAATTTTCAGTGGACAATAAACAGCTGTATTTCTGATACCTTTCCAATTATATAGTTCATGTATATTGGTTTTAGCTGTAGGGTATAAGTGACCACACTTTTGTTGTTTTCAAACAGATTAATATTCAGGTTTCCTATTTTAATTTTTTTTCAAACTTCACACTCTCAAAGATTACTCTGAAAGTGGGTGCTCTTAGGAGAGAGTTACCATGCCGTACCCTGAACCAAAACACTTCTGCTTCCAGATACGACTTCACGGTGGTTACTTGATGAAGACCTGCACTAGCACACGGTCAATGGGATCATTTCGGTGGATTCCTGCATATCTCTCAGTGTATCCCTCAGACGGAGCTCCAATCATGAAAGCAAACCACATGAAATTTGGTTTTAACTGCTTTGCTCTCCCGGGGATATCACTAGCACAGTGTTGGGTCTCTGACAGCTCAAATTGCTTTTTCTATTTGAGAGTGCAAAGTGGTTAGTGCTACCTGATTCCTTCGACAGAGAGCTATTTGCTTCCTTCTCTGACTCTAGAGAAAGATGCTGTGAGTGAGTACCCAGTGCCAATGCTCAGCACAGCAGTCTGCAGAATGGGAAAAACGGTAGCTATAATACCTTCTCAAATGTATCCTAAAGATGCAAAACATTTTTTAAACAGTAGAGAGAAGGAACTAAAGAACTCCTGCCTTTGCCTGGGTAGCTGCATTATTAGAAATGTTTTTACTTTACTCAGTGCCTTAGTAGGCGCTTCAAAAACCCCATACAGAGTTATTGAGAAAAGAATACCAGATTTAAAATGCCAGTAGCAAAAGTACATGACTCTCAAATACAGAACAAGCAAATCCAGTGGTTAGTTCACCTTTCAGGTACAATTGTTTAGGTTGAAAAATATCAACACCAACTGTGGCCATGATAACAGGATGGAAGCACCTAAATCTTACCAGCAAGATGAATGAAAAAGAACAATGAACATGAAATGCTAACAGAGATGTAAGTTTAAAGGACCTTGTTTATAGTATTCTATAACAGAACGTCAGGAAGCCAATGCATGAAAACAAAACAAAACAAAACAAAACAAAACAAAACAAAACCTCCCTTCAAATAGTTGGCCAACTCAATAAAACTCCCAGATATAGTTGTAACAATGTAAATATTAATCCTGTATCAGAGCTTCCTTGTTAATGAACACCATTTAGCTCAACACCTATAACACAAGCTGTAAACCACTATGTATTGAGAACACAAATCATAACCATCTTACTATATCCCACCTCCTACTACCATGCTTAATATATTAAAATGCTTAGTAAATATTTGGTTTTAAAGATAATATTCCCGTTCTTCTTAGATCAAATACCTGAGAGCTGAAAACCTTTAAGTCTGTATAGCTTTATCATCCATCCAATCTCTATTTGTATGTTTTATGAGGTATCAAATATTACATGTTCAAACCCGAGTTCTTAATATTACCCTGTGCTATTCTCTTCCCCCAACAGACTTTCCTCTCTCTTTTCCCGATCTCAGTAAATAAAGACTCCATTCTTTGAAATGTTCTGGTCAAAAATTCAGAGGTCCTATTAATTCCTTTATTTCCTTCAGACAATCCATTTAATCTGTCAGGGACTTCTATGGATCTATCTTAAATCTGATGACTTCTTATTACCCTAACTGTTCCAATTTAATTGGAACCACCTGATTTTTTAGGAATAGCTTCCCAATGGATCTCTTAACTTTGACTCCAATTCCCCTTCCCTGGGTATTTGGTAGAGCAGAGCAATTCTTTTTAAATACATGTCTGGTCACATCACTCCTTTGGCCAAAGCCTCCACCTAAATAAAAATGTAAGACCCACAGCCCTTACAATGGCCCACGCAGCCCCATCAGATCCACACCCATGACACAGTTTTCCATTCTCTTCATCAGTCATTCCACTTTAACTTGGTTGATTCTGCTTTCTGAAAACATCAGGGACGTCCAGCCCCAGAGTTTTTGCATTTGAGGTCCCCTTGGCCTGGTCTGCTCTAACAAAAAGCAGCTGTAGGTTTTGTCATTCTTCTTTAGTCCTTCCTTCAAATGTCTCCTTGGCACAGAGGGTTCTTCTGAGTAACCACACCTGAAATTACCGTAAACACCTTTTTTCTCCATCGTGACTGTATGGCTTTAACTGTATTTTTTTCCCATGGGACTAATACAAACTACATATTTCATCCCATTAGAAAGTAAACTCCAAGAATTTAAATTGTTTTCATTTATTCTCATCACAAATACCCAACCCCTGAAAAAAAATATTCATACAGTAGAATTGATGTATAATAGATATAATAATTAACTCTCTTCTACAGTTGGTTTAGATTACAAGCAAGTTGTACCATACTGCCTTTTGCTCAAACATGAAAACTCTCTGGTTCTTAAATCATTTGGCCTAAATTTATTTTACTAAAAGATGAAAAAAAAATTACAGGTGGAGAATAAGAAGGCTTTCATACCCTAAGATATACTGAAATGTCAAAATGTCAATTATGAAAATGGAGTCAAACATACAGAATAAATAAGAAGACTTTCAAGTAATTTCTGGAGTCTACAAGCTTGAATTTAACCTTGTGACTACAATTTGGTAATTGTGACCTTGAACAAACTAGAGAGGCTCCTGAACTCACAATGGGGTTAGGCGAATACGCACTGAATCCAGCTCGCCTACCCAACATCACAGCTCAGCGACACAGCACACTGGACCAGGCCAAAGCAAGGGACTCCTGCTGGGTCTGCCATGTGTGTGGACTGGAAGTAAATCAACAGGGACTTGCACTAGCACTGGTATGGGATGCCAGTGTCTCAGGGGCAGCTTCAGCCAGTGTGCCACCACACCAGCTCATCTATTTCTTTTTCTAACCTGAGTACATTGTTTTTTTTTTTTTTTCATGTCTCACAACAATGTTCATTTAAATAATCCAACATATGTATGAATGATACAGGGTAGATCAGAAAGATAAAAATAATAAATGTTATTTTAATTATACGTACCAAACATTATCCGACCAGTTAACCAATGGCCTAATTTCAATTTATCATTTCCATTTTAGTTTATATTATCAATAATATTTGAGTTACTGATAAATTAAGGTCACAAAGTGCCCATAGCATCTGAAGGAGGCAGATTTTAATTTTAGGATATAAATTCTAATTTTAATACTATACAATTGTGTTTGACTTTTAAATAATAACAACAGGAAGATTGAACATTTCATCTAAATATTCTTCATTAATTAAATTATAACAAGGAAGCCAATCGAATTGCCAAGATTTACATTAAAACGTTTCCCAGGGTATGTACAAAAGACTGGTATAATTTATGGCAAAGACTGTTTGGAAAACTTACAAAAAAATCAAAGGTTTCAAAGATATTAGTTTCTTCAGAGAAGATGAAGAGACATGAGAGTAAAACCTCAGAAGGGAATGACAGAATGAATCACCAGAAAACGGTTTCAGGAAAGTCCATGATTCTAACCTCTGTAAAAGGAATTTTTATCAAAGCAGTATTTGTTTTTCAGCCTTCTATGAAGTCTCTGTTCATGTGGGAAATGCCAAGTGTTTTCTAAGAACAAGTTTCTGATTTTCCTTTTATTTTCATTTGACCGAACCTGCCTTGTCACTATGGATAGTTCAGGAAGTACTCAAATACCACAGAAGAGTGAATGATGGGGAGAAGGGCTGGTTTAAACAATAATGTCTTGAGAAATCTACTCTGTCGATGTAAAATATCAACGATACC